CTTTGGTTTCTTCCCTCTCCTTTCCTCCCCCCCCCCCCCCCCCCTCCATCTCCTCATCCAATGAAATAGCCATCCCCACTCTCGATTTTTAACTTTTTGTCGTTTTCTCTCTCACCATTTTCTGATTGATCCTGACCTGTAATTCGGACATCTGTTTTTTTTTTTTTCTCTTTTTTCTTTAGTTCTTTCTATGCTTCTTCCCTTCTGTTTTCTTTGCTCCCCCTTTTTTTTCTTCTCCTGTCCTCTCTGCATGGTCCATTATCATCCCGCCCATTTTTTAATAGCTTCTGTTTGGTCGACTGCAGATTCTTGTTCTCTTGTTTTCGTCGGTCACTCACGTCTGTCCCCCCTCTATCCTTCTCTCTCGTCCTCTCTGCATGGTCCATTATCATCCCGCTCTTTTTTTCATTCGTTCTTCTCACCCTGTGCTTCTCTTCATCTACGTCACTCTGATTACACCTTAGGCTATGGATGTGCCTCTCTCTAATCCCTCTCTCTCGTTCCAGCCCCCCTCCTTCTCCCTCTCTTTCTCTCCTCCCCCCTCTCCCTCTCTCCCTCTCTGCCTCTCTTCCTCTCTCTCCCTCTCTCCCTCTCTCCCTCTCTCCCTCTCTCCCTCTCTGGTTCTCTCCCTGTCTCCCTCCCCCTGTCTCCCTCTCCCTCCCTCTCTCGTTATTGGCGCTTTCTGCTCTTTCCCTCCCGAAGAAGACTATTTGGCGGGAAAAGTATGGCGGCAATTGCGCTTTCTGCTCTTTCACGCCCGAAGACTTTTTTTTTTTTTTTTTTTTTGGCGGTTGTGCTGTTTTGTGGGAATTGCCAAAAGAAATTGGCGGAATTTATTTTGGCGGGCATCCTGTGGTGGAAATGAAGTAGCAGGAATGTTTTGATGAGTTACTTCCTCCTCCCCCCCTTTCTTCTCCCCCACCCCCTCCCACCCCCCACCCCCTCCTCTTTACGGCTGTGCAGCTGGTGGGAATCGTGTTGTGGGAGAAAAACTAGCGGGAAAAGTATTACTCCCACGGTTTGGGGGGTGGTTTCGTGGGAATCTCGCGGCGGGAACGACGATGTAGGAAGAGTGTGTTTACACGCGACATGCTTTGGCTTTTTCCAATTTAGGACGGATCCGCTCGGTTCCTTCGGCGGGTTGGGGAATCTCTGCTTTGGCTTTTTTTCCAATTAAGGACGGATTCGCTCGGTTCCTTGGGCGGGTTGGGGGGTAATTTCGCGGGAATCGTGTGGCGGGAATGGTGTTGCAAAGAAGTCTTGACGCGACATGTGTTTTTTTTTCCCGCTTTTTTTTTTTTTTTTTGACGCCTCTGCAGTTCCCAGATGACTTGCTGAAGGATTCTTCCAAAGTGGTGGCTGCGCTGAAAGCTGGATGTGGCGGCAAACTGGAGGCGAAGCGTACGGGCGAATCTGGAGAATCTAGGCAAGGGCAGATTGGAGAAAAGGCAGAACAAGCGAAGGAATGGGAGGAGAGAGAGAGAGGAGGGAGAGGGGGGGGGGAAGTGGACGGCAAAGAAGAAGTGTCCCGGAAAAACTTGCGGTTGGGGGAAGAAGAAGGAAATGGAAAAGATGATAAGGATATGGAGGAAGAGAGCAGAGGGAGGAGGAGGAGGAGGAGGAGCGAGGTTCAATTCTTTGTGATGGCGGACACAACCTTCGGGCACTGTTGCGTTGATGAAGTGGCTGCCTCTCACGTCGATGCCGAGTGTGTCATTCATTACGGTTACGCATGTGTCAGCAGGTATGCGAACACAACCCCTGCCTGTGTCAGGAAATACTCACACTAGCATGTTCAAGAATGCGTCTGACTGCATTTACGGCCAGATCTGCATGAATCTGACTGCAATCACGCCCAGAGCTTTGTCCAAGAAGTCCTAGTTAAGTGGCTGCCTCTCGTGTCATTCATTACGGTTAAGCATGTGTCAGCAGGTATGCGAACACAACCCC